AGTTGGCTTCAATCCTGGGATGCAAGGCTGGTTCAACGTAACGCAAATCAATAAATGTAACCCATCACATAAACAGAACCAATGACAAAAACCACATGATTATCTCAATGGGTGCAGAAAAGGCCTTCGATAAAATTCAACATCCCTTCATGTTAAAAAACTCTCAATAATCTATGTATTGATGGAACATATCTAAAAATAATAAAAGCTATTTATGACAAACCCATAACCAATATCATACTGAATGGGCAAAAGCTGGAAGCATTCCCTTTGAAAACTGGCACAAGATAAGGATGCCCTCTCTCACCACTCCTATTCAACACAATATTCTGGCCAAGGCAATCAGGCAAGAGAAAGAAATAAAGGGTATTCAAATAGGAAGAGAGAAAGTCAAATTGTAAATTGTCTCTGTTTGCAGAAGACATGATTCCATATTTAGAAAATCCCATCGTCTCAGCCCCAAAACTTAAGCTAATAAGCAACTTCAGCAGTCTCAGGATACAAAATCAGTGTGCAAAAATCACAAGCATTCCTTTACACCAACAGTGGACGAACAGAGAGTCAAATCATGAATGAACTCCCATTCACAATTGCTACAAAGACAACAGCATACCTAGGAATACAGCTTACAAGGGACATGAAGGACATCTTCAAGGAGAACTACAAACCACTGCTCAAGGAAATAAGAGAGGACACAAACAAATGGAAAAACATTCCATCCTCATGGATAGGAAGAATCAATATCGTGAAAATGGCCATACTGCTAAAGTAATTTATAGATTCAATGCTATTCCCATCAAACTACCATTGACATTCTTCACAAAATTAGAAAAAACTACTTTAAATTTCATATGGAACCAAAAAAGACCTGTATAGCCAACACGATCCTAACCAAAAAGAACAAAGCTGGAGGCATCACACTACCTGACTTCAAACTATACAACAAGGTTACAGTAATCAAAACAGCATGGTATGGGTAAAAAACAGACATATAAACCAATGGAACAGAACAGAGACCTCAGAAACACCACATACCTACAACCATCTGATCTTTGACAAACCAGACAAAAACAAGCAATGGGGAAAGGATTCCCTATTTAATAAACGATGCTGGGAAAACTGGCTAGCCATATGCAGAAAACTGAAACTGGACACCTTCCTTACACCTTATACAAAAATTAACTCAAGATGGATTAAAGACTTAAATGTAAAACCCAAAACCATAAAAACCCTAGAAGAAAACCTAAGCAATACCATTCAGGACATAGGCATGGGCAAAGACTTCATGACAAAAACACCAAAAGCAATTGCAACAAAAGCCAAAATTGACAAATGGGATCTAATTAAACTAAGGAGTTTCTGTACAGCAAAAGAAACTAGCATCAGAGTGAACAGGCAACCTACAGAATGGGAGAAAAATTTTGCAATCTACCCATCTGACAAAGGTCTAATATCTGAATCTACAAGGAACTTAAATTTACAAAAACAAAACAAAAAAACATCAAAAAGTAATCCCAGCACTTTGGGAGGCTGAGGCAGGAGGATCACCTAAGGTCAGGAGTTTTGAGAACAGCCTGGCCAACATGACAAATCCTGTCTCTACTAAAAATACAAAAATTATCTGGGTGTGGTGGCACGTGCCCATAATCCCAGCTACTTAGGAGGCTGAGGCAGGAGAATCGCCTGAACCCAGGAGGTGGAGGCTGCAGTGAGCTGAGATTGCGCCATGGCACTCCAGCCTGGGCAACAAGAGCGAAACTCCATCTCAGGAAAAAAAAAAAAAAAAAGTGGGCATAGGATATGAACAGACAATTCTCAAAAGAAGACATTTATGTGGCCAACAAACATGGAAAAAAAACTCATCATCACTGATCCTTAGAGAAATGCAAATCAAAACCACAAGGAGATACCATCTCATGCCAGTCAGAATGGTGATTATTAAAAAGTCAAGGAACAACAGATGCTGGCGAGGCTGTGAAGTAGGAATGCTTTTTCACTGCTGGTGGGAGTGTAAATTAGTTCAACCATTGTGCAGGATAGTGTGGCGATTCCTTAGAGATCTAGAACCAAAAAGAGCATTTGACCAAACAATCCCATTACTTGGTATATACCCATTGGAATATAATCATTCTATTATAAAGACACGTGCACACGTATGTTTATTGCAGCACTATTTACAATAGCAAAGACATGGAATCAAACCGTGCCCATCAATGAAAATGAATAAAGAAAATGTGGTACATACACACCATGGAATATTAAGCAGCCATAAAAGAGAATGAGATCATGTCCTTTGCGGGGACATGGATGAAGCTGGAAGCCATCAACCTCAGCAAACTAACGCAGGAACAAAAAACCAAACACATGTTCTCACTCAAAAGTGGGAGCTGAACAATAAGAACACATGGACACAGGGAGGGGAACACACACTGGGGCCTGTTGGGGGGTGGGGGTCAAGGGGAGGGAGAGCATTAGGACAAATACCTAATGCATGTGGGGCTTAAAATCTAGATGAAGAGTTGATGGGTGCAGTAAACCACCATGACACATGCATACCTATGTAACAAACCTGCACGTTCTGCACATGTATCCCAGAACTTAAAGTACAATATTAAAAAAAAAAGTTCTGGGGTAAAAGTCACATTTTCCTTCTCTGTATTTTCTTTTAAGCTCAGGTGACTGGACAATGTCTTTGTTTGCAGGACAGGATGGCCTCTGAGCCTATCTTGACATAACTTAGTGTATGGGAGACTAACTTTTGGCCTGGTTTTCTGTGGTCTTTTTCTAAAAGTTCAAGCTGGAAGACAAACTGTTCCATTAGAAGCTCATGTTTCATCTGCATAATAAATATATCAGATTAGAAGACAGCATCATAGTAGTAAGTTCCGAACAGATTTATGAAACCTTTTCATTACTTTTTAATTTCCAAAGTTTCATTTAAGCTCTCAGATTTGACAAAAACGTTTTACTAAACATATCTTAAAATTTTTTTATTTTATGTGGATAACCTTCAAGACCTAAAGAAATACCGTAGTGTGAAAATATGAGGATGTTAGCTACACAGAAGGAAACATGTACTTAACTTTTTTATTCTCTAGAAAAGAACACATTTAGGTCTTGGGCTAGTTTCCTACTGAGAATCATAAATTCAAAAGTACATTAATATATCATTACCCTTTAAAAACAATTTATTCCCAGGTTTGATGATAAAATAGTTGCAAAATACCACAAGAAATCTGTTTTAGAAATTAAAACTTGGAAGCTAAAAAGTTTAACATTTTTTTCCCAGTGAATTGAGAGAAAAAGGCATCCAACAAATTAACTTCAGCTGGGCTTTCCATTTTGATTACATTTGTAAACCCAAAACAGAAGCACAGCCTCAGTAAATGCACCTTCTGTGTACTCCTAATCTATACAAAACATGGGGTCCGGCTCAGAGTTGGGGGGTCTGCCCATGGGGCAGTCTTGTGATCCAAAGTCCCGGTGCCACGTGAGGGTCCTCCAGGAATCAATGGATTTTCTCCTTAGCTTTGCTTTTCTCTAGGCAAGTAAAGCCAGGACTCCTCTAATGAGTGGAAAACATCTTTTATGAGTTCCTAGTTCAGCAAGACAGGAGCTATTAGACATCCAGGGATATGTTTTTATCCATCATTTGTGCTGTTTGGCAACATTGCCTCAGTGCTGAGAAACTGGGTCAGTTAAAAGTTATTACGAGTGATAGTAGCCTTAATTAATGATCATAGTTGTGTTCTAGCAGTTAAAAGGAATAAAGTCAGAAACTAAGTTGTCTGTCTGTGTTTTAGAGAACTGGCATTTTATAACTCAAATCCAGTGGAATTCCATTAACTTTTTTTGGGAAGGGGTGTCTCTGAACTTGAGCCTACTCATAGTACCAGAAGCAACAAATTTTGAGAGATGATGTCAGATTTAATAACGTAGAACAAGCATATTATTTCACCACCTTTGAACCATCAGTGACAGATTTACTAGAGTCCACCAGTGTATATTTTTTAAGCTGAATCACATGTATTTTTGTCTGTGCACAAATGTCTAAGTATAAGATCAAGTGTTTAAAACCCCAGAGTTGGTGGATTAAACGGGAAACACACGTGTACTTTGAACATGAGATTTCAAACCCAGGTCATGGCTCACAAACTTCTGTCACAAGTGTACCTTGGGAGGAAATGAATGTAGATGGAGAAGAGGGGTAACATCTTTGCCTTCTGTTATTTTCCCACTTATTTTAATAGAAATGTGCCTAAAGGCAAGCAACTGGAAAATAGTGGCCAAAGGACATTAGAGAAACCAAACTGGCCTCTAGGTGGTGCTTGGAAGCAGCGTAGGGAAGGCTGGCACCCTTCAGGGTGAAAAGGGTATTAGCTGAAGTCCAGTAACCTGCAGGCTCCAGGGTAAGGTCTGCATCCTAATGTGACCTGCTCTGCAGTCTCCACAGGTGATGACTGGGCCAGTTGAAATACATTTCTCTTTTCACCTCTTCCTGTATCTGTGAAATTGTTATTATGGTTATAGCTCATGTCGATAAATCATTGCCGTTTAACTTCAACAAACACTTACTCAAAGGGCTGTTGTCAAGCAGGTCATTCTGCCACAAAGCTGTACTTAGACACACCTGCCTGCTTCTCTCTGTTTCCTATTTGCCCAGCACTGTCTCGTCCAGATGGAGTAGGCCGGACCTGCAGGACCTACGATTCTGTTTGCTTGCATGGGGGATGTTTCCCAAGGGAATGTTTTCTCTTTTTTTTTTTTTTTTTTGGCAAAGTTTTTAAAAGGTATTATAGCTGCTACATTTGAGATCAAATATGAGTCTGTAACTCCTGTTAACAACATTTGCCATCAATAAGAACAAAGACACCTCCCCGTGTCAATCATAATAAAATGTGGGTAGATGTGTAAATCCACACAAATCTATTGCTATTCGCATGCTGACTGAAAAGGGAATCTTCAGCATAAAAATGTAAGAATCTGTAACTCCAGGCAGATTTTAACATATACTTTTTTTTTTATTAAATATGTAAAAAGATCAATGCAAGTCAAGTTATTCACATATTCAGAGACAAAAAACTATTCTACCATGCGACAATAGGTGGGTAATGTAAAATGAATGTGATACATCTGAATAAGACTTTTTCATCTATTATGTCATTACTTATCTATATTTATAATTAACAATACATATGTTTACATTCCTTTCAGTTTACATTTAATATATAACAAAAGCTTTATGGTGTACTATTTAGTAAAAGCAATCTGAATGCATATTAAACCTTAACGGAATAATGGAAATACTCACCGGGGAAGGGAAGAGTTCTTGGTTCCCTTCTGGAATTTACTTCTCTCAGGTCAACAGGTGTTTTTCTTTTTTTTTTTTTTCCTGCTTTTCTGCTTAGAACAAACATGGACTTTCTCTTTGCCCCCTGCTTCGATCACTTCCTATCTGACAGCAGCAGTGGAAGTGCTATAACCAGCCGCCAGTGGGCATGAGAGGGGACTAAGGATGAAACTGGGCTTCCTGAGAGGGAGAAGTGGAGCACGCACCCAGGGACACTTCCCGCCCAGCCTGATGACACGTGACCAGGGGCCGCCCTGAACGCCGAGATGAGAGAATGATGGGGTCCCACCATCCATGGGAAATGAGTGGGGGTCTGCGCAGAGGCTGGAGGTGCAGCCTAAGAAGACCGACTCAAATTCAGCTGTTAAAGATTCCCCAAAGCATCTGAGACATCATCTGGGATGCAGCACGGCAGAAGACGTTTAAGATGGGGCCAGAAAGAAGACTGTATAGCTCTTCTGTAAATAAACGAATGGTCTGCCCCAAGCCTTCGGGAAGGAGAATGGACTATAGTGACTGGGGAAAGTTCTCTTTGCAGGCTAAGAGATCTGGCCAGCATGTTGATAACTGAGAAGGCTGGGGAGCTGGAGGACAATGGAGTGGTTCCTGCAAGAGTCACCAGGGAGGCTTATGCAAGCTATACAGCAGTAAGGGGTTGCTGGAGAAAGCAGGATCCTGACTCCCTGCTACCCATTCATGCGCATCCACATGACAGGGGTTTGGTCATGATCCACCGAGCACTGGGTATGACTGAGATGTCCAGAGCAGATGAAGAATGGCCTAGGAACCACTGCAGTATCAGCTGCATAGAGTTATTGTGACCTTTTACAAGAGCTATTTTTTTTTTAAAGAGATCAGTGAGTACAACAGGCTCAGAAGGGCAACACGCTGTTAAGCATGATGCTGTGTATAGCACATGCCACTACTACTTGTGACCAGGTGTGGGAGGACGTCACTGCCGAGAGCCAGGCTGTCCAGCCTTAGAGAAATAAGCTGCCGCTATAATGCAGAGTGAGCAGGAGAGAGAAGAAAGGGAAACCAAACACCACGGAACATCTGTCCAAGTCTGCACAGTGTGTTGTAATAATCTCAAAAATACAAGCCATCTTTTCCATATAACTCAATAAATATCACTTTGCTGTAAAAGATTTATTTTGGAGATACTTCTTTTGGTGAAAAGCTTCAATGCTAGAATTTAGAGTTCATATTTCATCAATTAATAAAGAAATTTCAAAGCTTCAGGATACATAATTCAGAAATTTATTTTAAGCTTTTCAGTTAAGCGGAAAGTGGGGTGGGCACATTTGTTTCTTGTTTTTGTTGCACCTGCTAAGTCAAATAACAAGTGAAAGTAAACCTAAAGTTAGAAACCAAGGTGAAATGAATGATCCAGGAAGGGATACCATCTGTCAAAGGAAAAAATAAAAATAAAGAAATAAAAGAGGCAAAGACTTGGAAAGAGACTAAGAAAATGTGCAAATATTAGTTAAAAAAATAAGGAATGCTTTTAATTCATTAATGTTTCCTCTATTTATGAATTGCCATGGTTTAGCTAAGGTCAATGACAAGAAGGGCCCTTGTGTTAAAGAGGGAAAATTCTTTATTCTAGAAGATACTGGAGTCATAGATTTTTCTGTGCTGTTATTCCAGTGTCTACTCCAGACTGCAGAACCATGATTCTCCCTTGCAATTATGCTATTAATAAGGTCTTCACTTCTAGCCTTACAGCACGTGTGTGGCATGGTGCAGGGCCTTGGAGCTCAGGGCTGCACACCTGAAGTTACCCTTTAGTAGGGATCCCCTAGAGTGAATGACAGTTTTGTGGCTGAAACCTACACAAAGAGGAAGAGGAATGAGGCAGGAAGACCTGTACCTAACCAGACCCTCTTTGGACTGCAGAAATCTGATGGCAACATCTCGGGGAGAGTGGCTGCCCACCAAAGAGGACCCTGAGAAACAAAACAGCATAACCTGGGAAATGGGCTACATGGGGGGCAAAGGACATGGTGACAGGGCAAAGTTGAGATGGTGTTTTCCTTGAGTGAATGTCTTTCAAAACTAACAACATACTGTGTAGTTGTCTAACATGCTGATGGAGGAACACTGCTGGGCCCTGAAATCCTAGCTTTGAATCCATTTTTTCCCTTTAGTATTGTGAGTAGAGGGAGAAACTGACCTTATGTTTTCCCCCATGACACAAGTCACCGTCATTATGGCTTTCATATCAAGTATCTGTTTCCCTTTGTTCCAATCATTTGACCAAATTTATGTTCAGAGGTTAGACTTGCAAACATCAAAGCACCACAAATGTGTGTGACATCTAGTGACACTGGGTTGAAAAATGCCAATATAAATACCATATATCAAATTACCATTGTTTCACACCAGGATAAAAAGAGGGGTGGTGGCAGTGGTGTTGGGGTGGGAAAGAGTTGTTCTGGAAAGAAATGAAGAAAAGAGCAGAACCAATCTCAAGCAGCCAAGTGGTGAAGTTGGATGTATGTGACCCTATGATCTCTCGGGTAGGCGGCCAGAGGGCCGTCCGCTAATACACCTTGGCAAAGAAAATGGGAACCAAGCGCAGTGGCTGGCATATGCAACAGTGCGTTGATGGTAATGGCAGATTGGGAACAACTGGTTTCTGTTGAGCTTGGGGCCACACATGTTCCAATTCTCCAGAAGAAACGTTCCCACGCACAATGGAAGTGTCAAGAGCAGCCGGGGCGGGTCAGTACTCTTCCTGCTGTGGGGGCTGCTGTTCGTGGGCTTGCTCCTCTGCTTCCGGCTCTTCTGTGTGGCCCTCCTGTGGGCAAGGGAGAAGTGTCAGCTGAGATAATTGACTGGGAATGGGGCCCTGCAGCGTCCCAGCCCACTGCCACTGCCAGCATGGCGTCTCAAGGCTGTGGAGGGCACCAGGCTTAGTCAGACACAACTCGCCATGCAAATGTCTCCCAGCTTCTGGTGGCCAATACATGTGCAGGGACGCCTTAGCTTCTCCATGCGATCAAAAAACAGATCATTCTAGAAAGCAGAGTCATCAGGCTTTAGGCACCCAACTATTTTGTTTCCGAAGGAAATCTTCATAGAATACATGGCATACTTTCCTAACCTTTGTAAAAGAGTAAACCAAACAGTGACCCTAGAGCATCATGACAACCATGAGTTAAGCTGCTGTAATATAAAAGCAGCACCCCTGGCCTCTGTGGTATGTTGGGGGTGGGGTGTCGCTCCTCACTAATGGATAGGGATGTGGGCTTTTGCTCCATTTCCTAGTCCCTCCCTCGCTGTCATTCTTCTTGCTCCGTAGTGTCTGCCTGAAGGAGACCCTTTGTTGTGTTACTAACCTGATGTAGGCTTAGACACTAGAGCAGCAGTGTTAGAGGCTCCCAGGCTAAGGAAAGGACAGCAGGCACATTTCATGGGTTGCCCCAGGCAAGGAGGCCCCTCCCAACGAGGGAGCTCAGGAGCTTTAGCTCAAGGACTTTGGGACGTCTACTAACACTGCTTGGGGCCCTTTTGACTTAACTGAGAATCAGATCGGTGAGTTGCTCTTCCCACTGTTTAGAAATAAACAGCCCTATTTATTCCTTTGCCTAACCCAGTAAAGCACGTCATGAACACCACCTCCAGGGAGCGCTGGCCTCAGTCAGCCATATCTGTACATTCACTCATTTTCTGAACTCACACAAAATATTTGCTGTTTTTCGCCCAAGCTGACGGAGCATGGCTAATCAGAGGAGTTCCCTGTTCCCTCAGTAAGGGCACACAGCTTCTGTGATGCAGTCTGGAGCATGTGCTGGGACATACAGAAGTGCACATGCCTCCCACACCTGGCATGCTGACTCCTGAGCACTGAACTGCCCAAGCCCTTCCCTGTCTGTCGGGCCCCTCTTCCCTGGAGCTTAGGACAAACCCATCTTTAGCCAATTCAAATATGGCATGATCATCTCTCCAGATCAGCGCTTCTCTCTTCTCCTGCAGCATTTATTTTCTTCCTCTGCTATGACACTGATTTGGAATCTTGTCTTGACCCTTTTGGCCCCATCCACTGGATGCTGAGGTTACTGAAGTCAGGGATAGGATTCTTGGTGCCACATCTTTCTTATGTAAGACTCAATCCATGTTGTGTTGAGAGGAACAAATCGCAGTGGATTCAAGAATGAATGACTGAGACTATCAGACTATCAGCCAAGGTCATAAGCCACTTATTTTCTGAGAGCCAGTAAGTAGAATGTTAAGGTTACAGCATGGACTCGAGTTCACATCCCAGCTCTGTTATTTACAGGCTGTGTGGGTTTGGGCCTAGAACTTAACTGCTCTGGGCCCAGTTTCCTCATCTGTAAAGTTGGGGATAAGAGTATCCATGTAGGAGCATTTTCAATGCATTTCATTAATCAATGAATCAAAGGACTCCTCGAATCCAATAGAGGAGTTAATGAGTTAAAATAGGTAAAGTGCCTAGAAGAGTGTTTGGCACATGGTAAACAGAAATGTGAGCTGTGGTTATTATTTCTTAGTGGGAAAACTCTGGAATATATTCTAGAAGTGCAAGTAATTTTTAAAAAAAGTAACCGTTTCTGTGACAACCAACAGTAGACAGTGACATTGTGTTGAAAACTTGGGATAAAATCTGGCATTGTCTCTTACTGTGCCGACAGGCCCCTTACTCAGCAGATGTGAGCTCTCCCTACCCCATGGCCACCCTGTGTTCACCACCTAGAACTGCCTCCACCTCTGCAATGTTAGGCCCAACCTCTTGCTCTCTCTGATCACATCATGTGTCTTCCTGACCCTTGCCCTCCTGAATTCTTTAATTGCAGGTGCTCTTTGACCTCGGGGAGATCTCAGAGCCCTGATCCCCTCTTTACTCCCCTTCTGCCGGATCGACCCCAGACCGCTAGGCATCACAGCAGCTATGCTGTTGGCACTTCCTCTGCACAATGCTTTGCCCTCTGCCTGGCACATGTGAGGCTGGTCCTCTCAGCTCACAGTCAGGGCCTCACCGACAGCGTGGCCGTACACGCTCAGGGGAGCAGGAGAGAACTTCTTCCTGGACCAGCGCAGGACAAGAGACAGTGACTGGCCTTCCTAAGCCAGTGCTCTCCTCTCATCCAGGGGAGAAGAATGAAACTAACATTCACGGGAGTTTGACAGGAACGGTGGGCTGGGAACTCCCAGCTGTCTGTCCTGCCACATACTCCTCTAAATTACGAGAAAGTCACTCCTCCCTGAAGCCTCTCTCACTGCCTGCACCCCCGAGTTAATGGCTTCCCTCCCCAAGCTTCCTATCCTCGGTTTCTGCTTCGGTGGGAGGGCGCACCACAGTCCTGCGTGTTCCTGCTGGGTGGCTGGTTACACATCTGTCTCTCCAGCCAGGCTCTGAGCCCCCCGCGGTGAGGTATGCTGTTTTATTCGGCATCCTAACTCTTGAACGTGAGTGTGGTGTCTTCCACATTGTATTGCTCAAACTTCAGTTGGTCTCAAGTATGCTTTTCTTCATATAATTGTTTCTGTGCATGTTAGACTGCTGAAAAGATTTCAGAAATGAGGATCTGTTTTACATGTTGCAGAAATTCTCGTTTGCTCACGTCACAACCAGGAGTTTATTGTGGGCTAATGGAGTTAAAGTTGAAAGACCTAGATTCAAGTAATCATTGAGCCTGTAACAAACTAGAGGGCCAGGAAGCCACTAGGCTAGGCCTCCTTTCCAAACACATCTAACAAGACGGCAGTTTTGCTGGCCTTGTCTATGGCTCTGAGGCTTCCAGATGCCCAGGGCAGCTGCTCCTCATGCAAACCCAGCTTAAGTCTCAGTCACAGGACCCCTCTGTGATGTCATGCATCTGCAGGAACTGTGGACCCCAGACAGCTCTCACTGGGAAATACCAGCAAAGCTCCCAATTTATCAATAGATTGCTCATGCCTGGCGTGCAAGTTAAGGCAGTCTGAGAGTCTGGCAGAACACATCTGTAATTCTGAGGTGTTACAAATCACAGCTGAGCGCTCACAGCCCACACAATGCTACTGCAGGCTCACGGGAAAAAACAATCTTTTTCTATGCCTCATACAAGAATGAAGAACTTAAACCCATGTCTAAGTAGGAGGCCAGGCAAAACCTATACCAAATATGAGACTAATGCACCAGAGCATCACTTAATAATTCTACTATGTGCACATCGATCTATTCACATCTTTCCGTTTAGCTGTGAGTGACTGTAAGAAGACTATCATTCTTTAGTTTCCTTATAATCATTAGATAGAGAGGCAAACTGGAAGACAGTATTGAAGAAGGCTCTTGGCCACTGTGGGAGGAAAATGGGGGCAAAGGAGAGAGGAAGGCCCATCAGGAAGCTCCAACGGCTCCTGGCTTCCTAGCTGTGGGAGGCAGCACCCTGCAGCCGTCTCCTGCCACCATGCCAGCTGTGGCTGCTGGGCTGTCTTCTCTGCTTTGCTCATGCAGTTTCTCCCCACCTTAGCTCTATAGCTGTTGATGTTCCCAGTCGCCCTGTAACATCCAACACAAATGCCAACTTTGCTGTGAAGTCTCTGTGTGGTCCTCCAGGCAGCTTTTATCTGCTCCCCACGCAAGTTTATTTATGTCTCCATGATCACATTTGTCATCATCTGACACATATTCCAGTTAGTCATGTCCCTGTCTGTCACCCTTACTGGGACTGGGAGCTCCTCTGAGGTGGGGTTGGGTCTTTTCTATAGCCAACACTTAGCCCAGTGACAAGAGGACCTCCAGTGACAGAAGCATAGCCTGTCCCTGCAGGAAACAAGTCACTGTTCATAAGCTGGTGCCCTTCAGCTGACAGAATCCACAGGAAGCAGGTAGCCAATGCCTCAGCCCAGACTCCTGTGGCTCCAAGCTAAGTATCAGGGGAAAACATAATGAGAATAAGTATCTGCTCTGGAAACTTCCATTAGGTTTCTACAACTGGGAATTGAACCACCTCTGTTATTTTCTACTCAAAACTCCCACCTGGATTTTCACATCTTCCACACATCATATTCTGGGATGGCTTAAATATAAGAATCAGAGGCCAATCATCACCAAATAAAAGTGTTAAGTAATCACTCAGGGGAAGAGATCTCCCCAGCAAATCCTCCTACCTCAAATGTCAAAGCAAAGCATGTCCATCTATGTTCAGCTGAACAGCACGTGCTACAACCTGGCCTTCTATCTGTAGGAGGGCTCTGGGAAAGGCAGACAACCAGGCATCTGTGCCATCTCAGTTCTGTACACACAGCTGTACCAACAGCATCATGAACAAAGTGCTGGCACTTCCTCCCAGATGCCATGCACATCATCCATGCACATCATCCCTGCACATGGGTGCAAATCTATCCATCACCCAAGTGTGGGGCTGGCCAGAAAACAGGACACAATGTCAGGGGAAAGCACAGTGGGGCAAAAGCAGGATTCCCAGGGATGGGGGCAGTGCTGTATGGTGGCATCATAACCACTAAGCACATTCTTTTCAAAATTGATGCTTTTACAGACCATAGACATAGGGGAAGGTAGGCGAGGGTACAGCTTTAGGAAGGCACACTCCCCCAGAGTAGGACTGGCTATGTGCTTCTGCATGGTTCCAGAGAAACCAGATTCCATATTCTCAGGGAGAAACGAAAATGCTTGGAGGCTTTAAGGTATCTCAGATGATTTCTTGGACCTACGGGAGGTGGAGTGCTGGGGGGCAGAAAGGAGAGTATCTAGCTGCTCCTGAACCTCTTGGCAGAGTCAGGCATGCACAGGATATGGAAAGCACCTAGCACTGCGTCCAGGCCCACTGCAGTCTTCCTTTTCTTTCTGCATAAAAACCAAGGTTTAAAAAAATGGGTCTTGTCACATTCCAGACAAGGACACCTGGCATATTCCAGATCAAACGGGTTACTCTCTGTAGAAAACTCAGTATAGCCTGATGTGTCTCTTTTGGAGTTTTACAGACACAAAGTTGCAATAGAAATATCCTGGAACTAGAAAAATTAAGCCAGCAACTGCATTTGAACATCTTGCTCTGGTAACCCACACATGCAATTTATGTTAAGGCTGTTTTCTCTGCCAGATTCAACTGCCTGGTTACTCTGAGTAATTCTCTTCTTGAATTTTGGGTACTCCCCAGCATATACTTACAGGGCAATACCTCTGTCTCTTTCCCTCTCTCTTCCTTCCCTTAAATCTATTTGATGATGTCGGCGCAGTGCCAGAGATACAACAAAGTGGGTTTAAAAAAGTTACAAACTGGCTAGAAGAAAACGGAAGTTCTTCATGGATGCTGATTTAAAATCAGATGAATGCCCAGAAAAAGAGGCCACAACTAGGCTTTTGAAAGTGCAAATCAATAAAACGAGATAAGGGGAGTTATTTAGACAAAACCCAGGTAAAAATTTGGAAACTTTCCGTGTGTTCAACTGAAGACTGTCAAGTAGACAGTCAATGTTGAGGCTTTCCCCAATTGGTACTATGTTCATTTCCTCCCTGCTCCATGGTAACCAATACTCGGCGAGGGAGGTAACATAGTCCTTATGATTTTAGCCTCTGAGTTAGATAAGTCTGGGTTCAAATCCTAGTGCTGGAGCTTATTAACCATGGGCCATTGGGTAAGTAATTTCAACTATAAAATGTAGATAAGTAACTACTCACCTCACAGGGATGTGGTTAAGATCAGAAATCTATGTAGGACATGAATACAATCCCTAGCACATACTAAATGCTCAATCGGTATTAGCCATTACTACTGTCATAATACCATTTAAAAGGTGGCTCAGACTTGGAGAAGGGAGAACATAAACTCAGGATTCAGATTTCAGGGTTCAAATGGAAATTATTCTGGAATAGAATTATTCTGGAATAACGGAATAGACTTGGGAAAATTATTCAACCTCTCTGCTGCCTTAGTTTCCCTCATCTGTACAATGGGATGACAACAATAGCTAACAATCCTAACAGGGTTCTCTAGAGAATTACAGGAGCTAATAAGCTAATACACATCAAGCCCTAGGCCCTTCTACCTCAAACCCCAACCCAGGTGCCTCAGAAGAAGAGGTGTATGCTAAACTTATTATTCAGTCTTAATGAATGGTGAGGCCTTACAGTGTTATTTCTTCTTTTTTTGGGGGGGGAGCGGACAGAGTCTGGCTCTGTCACCCAGGCTGGAGTGCAGTGGCGCGATCTCAGCTCACTGCAAGCTACGCCTCCCGGGTTCGTGCCATTCTCCTGCCTCAGCCTTCCGAGTAGCTGGGACTACAGGCGCCCGCTACCGTGCCTGGCTAATTTTTTGTATTTTTAGTAGAGATGGGGTTTCACCGTGGTCTCGATCTCCTGGCCTCATGATCTGCCCACCTCGGCCTCCCAAAGTGCTGGGATTACAGGTGTGAGCCACCGCGCCTGGCCTAAAGTGTTATTTCTTCTTGGGATGCCTGCATTTTAGTTGCACTTACATTGCAGGAATTGCTCTCTCAATCCAGATGGTGGCAAGGTGGTGCTGGGATGTGTGTGTGTGGGAGTCGGGTGGTGACGGGTATGGCGGAACAGAAACTGAGTATGGTCATCTAGGTAGACCCCCTGGAAATCACACCCAGGAGGCAAGAGCTCTTGCCTGAGGCTGTCCACCTGTCCTCAGCCGGGAATTCAGTGCACCTCTCCAACACTTCATTTGGAGCTCACTGTCAGACAGTGCTCCTGCACATGGACTCCCTCTTGGGACAAAATCTGGCATGAGGTTAGACTCAGGGTTTCCCTCGTTTGAAGTGCAGGGTTGGGAAGAAGATTCGATCCTGCATGCTGGCCTTATTCCCACTAGCAGGCATTACTGCAGACAGCAGCGCCATTCGCTCAGCCTCACGGTGCTGTGGAGACCTCAGCTGATTTAGCCTCAAACAAGCTTGTGAAGAGAATAACCATAGTCCATCTAATGCTTACAGAGGGCAAGCACTCTGTACACACAGGACATCATATATGTGACGCTGTGGCAGCTGCAGACACACTACAAATCAGTCTCTGGTTTCTTCCATCAGATCTGAAAATACTGAGAACCGTATTTTATGAAGCCATCATGGAAACCAGGTGGATTCTCGGGGCTTCAAATTCTGAGCTATTGATAACCAAGAAATAATTTAAACCAAAATATTTGGAAGAAACGAAAAAAAAAAAAAGTAGTAGAGAGCTTCCAAACCACAGATACAGTGCGCCTTATAGTTCAGGAGAATTTCAGTGCTAGTATTTTGAGGCGTAAATGGAGTAAACATTTGCCTGGGATTCAGCTGGAATAAGAAAGCAAACGTGCTGATGGCTTGCTACGTCCTATAGAGATATCAACACATACAATTCCACGGGAGGCCCTCAGAACATCACAGGCCTCCAGCCCAGAGACTGGGACGCTTCCACTAGCATCAGCCTGACATGAAAGAAGCTGGACACCCCAACCCCTCACCTTGGCTCAGTGGAAGGTGAAGCCACATCGGGCTCCCACCCCCGCCTCTGGCTGCTGGGCCTCTCTCCCCTGCCCCTGGCAGACCCGGGGTGCCCTGCCTCAGTCTCTGCCATGCATCCTGCCCCCTTCCTCTCCTTGCTTCCTAGATTCTTATTCCTCCCCCGTTTCTCACGTCTGCTTTTCATCACCCTGACACAGCCACATCCTGGGTCTCCATCAGCACTTGTGAACAGCAACTCTGGTGGCAGGTCCTCCCCAAAAAGGAGGTGTGCATGTGGCTGTCCCACAGCTCTGGTCCGTCCTGGCAATGAGGAACCAAGACAACTAGCCACGAAGTAAAAACAGTCAGTTATGGGCCTTCTGGGGATGGGAAAAGCATCTAGATTATTTTCTCCTTTAACTACACTCCGAATTTGCATGAAGGAGGAGGAATCCATATACAAATTCTTAATGCTCATTTGCTCAGAGAACTGCAGACCACTTGGAGTTTGGCTGCATAAGCATATTTTTCTGTCCAAGCCTTCCCCACCCCACCCATCTCTTCCCAGATTAATGTATGACTGCCTGTCCCATAGGCATGGGTCAATGGATCATGATGATAATGAGGTTTATTCCTTTGGGACTATCAAACGCACTCAGCTGAGTGGTAATTCTCACTGAGGTCCTGAGGACGTGTTCTAAGGCGTGTCGATCTACTGTGCTTTGACCAAGAGAGTCATTTTAGAACACAGGAGTCACGTGCTCCTCACACTTACGTGTTCTTCTGAAGCATACAGGACGTCCATTAGTCGCTGCACGAGGTCATCATTTTCCTGCCCGTGTTCTTGGCAGAGCAGCTCGATCTCTCTCAACTTCCCAAAGTAGAAATCCCTTTCCTTTTCCACGCCTTCGAGGGCAAGTTTTAATGAATGTACCTGCAATGGAGTGAGAGTGAAGAAAAAAAACCACCCAAAATATAGTATAAGAAGTGACCAGCAATTCCTGTAAATAAAACTCAGAGAGAGAGGGGGAGAGAGGGGGGGAGAGAGAGGGGGAGAGAGAGAGAGACAGAGAGCGACAGAGAGAGACAGAGAGAGAGACAGAAATAACCGATGTGTAAGTCTGAGGGAGAAACAACAGGACTGTTGTCTGGAGCTTGACCCTGGGCCAAAACGTCCAATTCTCCACAGCACTCTGATCATTCCCTTCAGGCAAATGGCGTTTATTAACCAGGGACAGAGTGGGCCTTCTGCCTGTGCGGTTCCACGCAGGCTGAGAGTGAGCTTTCGTCTGCTGCTAACATAGGCTGGAACACCTCTTTCCTCTAACTTGTTACTGTGGCCTGAAAGTTTGTATCTCCTCAAAATGTGTATGTTGAAATCCTAACACCCAAGGTGATGATGTCAGGAGGTGGGGCCTTTGGGAGGTGGCTGTCATGGGGGTAGAGCCCTTATGAATAGGATGAGTGTCCTGATAAGAGGCCCAAGTGAGCTCATTCATCCTTTCAGCATGTGGAGACAACGAGAAGGTGCCATCTATGAAGAATGGGGCCTCAAGCAGACGCTGAATCTGCTGGTGTCTTGATCTTGGCCATCCCAGTCTCCAGAATTGTGATAAGTAAATGTCTGTTGTTTGTAAGCCACCCTGTGTACAGTACTCTGCTCTAGCAGCCTGAACAGACTGAAATACTTGCTCATCTTCTGCAGGAAATGGAGAATGGGAGGAGGAAAGAGCAGCAGAAGAGAGAGGCTGTAAGCACGGCTATTTAGATTTCTGTTGAGGACTCTCCCTCCCTTAGATCACTTGCATGGAAGCCGCCCTTCGCTGTAGACCCTTTCACAAATGATACTGAGCCACATGAGACAAACGCTCTCCAGGGAGAAAGCGGGGCTTCGCGACACGAGGAAAACTGGGTGAGACCGAAAGCCTGGCTGAGTGGATCTGTCTCAATTTCTCTAGTTCGGGCTTTGGGTACGTCACTGGGAAGGCAGGAGGGCAAGGAAGGCCTGTTCCCTCACCACAGTAACCCTCATTCCTTCTTTCTTCCTCTCGATCCTGGTTCACAGAGTTTCCAGGGATGTGCAGCTTCTCAGGGTGGCTACAGAACAGTCCAAGTGAAGGGAGGAGGCAGTGGTCAAAAGAGGGTCCAAGAACTCGGACACCCAGAGCTAAAGAAACCCTGATGGGGTTGTGACTAGATCTGGCTTCAAATCTCGGTCTACCAGGCACAGCAGCTACACTCAGGCCCAAACTATTACCCTGTTCCTGGTCTCTGAGGATCTCCATTTGCTTAAACCCTTTGTTTATTTTTATGTAGGGTATATGCTTCAGGTGGTAAATTAAATCTTTCATGGCCCTCCTTAGGTAAAATCTCTCTGTCATTATCTTAAAAATCGCCCCTAATAGAATTTCAAAAAATTACATTTGGAATGCAAAATGTCCTACTCTCTCCTCCTAATAATTCTGGGCCTTTGTGTATGCTTTATCCATCTGGAATTACTGATTCATTCAAACACACACTGACCCCATGCAGCGTCCATCCTCTTCCTGCGCACCTGGCAAACCATATCCATCCTGTAGATTCAGGGTTACCCTCACTGACGCCCCCAGGTGGCTGCTTGCAAAGCAGTGGAGAACCAGTTTGCTTTTAACTCATTTCTATTAATACTATAGCTTGCACATTTGTAAGATGTAAAAAAAAAAAAAAAAAGTGAAGGTGACCAGCTTAAATTCCAGAAAAAAGAAAACTCTTATTCTAGAAATCCTTTCCTGCTTTAAAACAAACCAACCTCTCCCCAGGTTTGGACACAAAATCCATCTCAATCCTGTGCTAGTGCCAGCAGATGATCTGTGGCAGCTTAGGTGTGTCACCACCCCTCAGCCCCCTGTCCCAGGCAAGGACACATCCCACCCACGAAAACTAGGTCTGTCTGGCCCACTAGGGCTTTGTTCTGCACACTGAACAAATAGCTGAGGCTTTTCCAGACAAACCTTTAGTGCAAATCAGGCTTCAGTGATATTCCACATGCATTAGGTAACAGCTGCCACTACCAACATTCCCTAGTAAAAACCAACACTAGCTAACCTATATGATGAAAATCAATTGGCAAGCAAAACTCCACTGTCATAGTCCCACTCACAAAGACCAATGCCAGCCTCATCCCTCTTGTGCTGTGGCAGATGCTTAAGCGATGAAGGAGATGCTGGAGATGGATCTTACAAAAGGAGAAGCAGCTCTCTTCTTATGATTCTTCCAACTCCTCCCAGTGTGGCCACAGACTGCAGGTTCCTGCAGGCCTTGCTGTTTCAGTGATGGCTATAGTCTCTGCCTGGGCTAACCTACACCCATCCCCGGCCTCACCTGCGCTCCCTGAGCAATGACCAACCTACTTCCAGTTGGCTAATCCATTGACTCCAACCCACTTCTGTTGGCTAACCCACTATCCAGAACAAGTCCCTAATTATATTGTTTATGACTTTTCCTACTGTATGTCTTTTGATTCATTTCTCATGGGACTGGTCTAGCATAGTATTACTTCTTTAGTGCATCATGGGAAATTGCCTGAGAAAATGCAAGAGGCCAAGCAAATGAGAATCCTCCAAGTTTATGGCACTTGTCCCTTTCTCAGTGAAGACTGTGCTTCACCCTTCAGCATCAGGGTCTCCCCTCAGCCTCTCCTCACCTGAGTGTTCTTTGTTCCAACACCGTGATGCCTGTGGGGCCCCCTCCCAGACTCGGGGGGCATCCTGTTGGCTCCAAGACAGAAAAAGGAGGGAACGGCAACAGTTAACCATGGATATAAATTTGGAGTAAGTGCTCAGTAATATTGGCTGAAGGACTCACAGTGCAGGGTGTGTCTTCCTTCTGAGGGGCAGACAGGGGGAGGCACACTCCTCGGTGTGAAGGTGTCAGGGGGCAGAAATGGGGAGTGAGGCCTTTTGGAAGTAATGAAGGGATTATAACAGGAAGGTGGCACTGGACCATTCCTCTCTCTTCTCACTCGGTTCTCTGAGTGGCATTGTGGATGGTAGGATGGTTTAGTGGAGGCATTTTAGAGGTCTGAGTTCCCTGGGGATGGGCTGTGTGTGTGATCTGGAGAGCTAACGGGAGCCTAGAGCCAGCTCCAAGGAGAGGAAGTGGGGCTGGCTGGGTCAGGCTGTAACGGGGAGAGAACCTCAAGGTTTCCACATGGTCATACTTTGGGCTGAAGAGGTGGGACACTGGGTGTGGTAGATGGGGAAGAGAGGGAGGAGTCATGAAGAAACACAAGATAAGAAAGATACCAAAAGAATTTGGGTTCCTTAAGGAAAAAGAGTTCTACAGTTGTGCCTTGGTATCTGAGAGGAATTGATTCCAGATTGTCCCTCAGATACAAAAACCCATGGATACTGAAGTCCCTGATATAAGACAATATAAGATGATATCATATTTGCATATAACCTACGCACATACTCCTGTATACTTTAAATTATCTCTACACTACTTATAATACCTAATACTATGTAAATAGTTATGTTGTATTGTTTTTAATTTGTATTAGTTTTTATGTTTGTATCGCTACTTTTTATTTTGAATATTTGCAATACTTGGTTGCTTGAATCTGTAGATGTGGTAACCCATGGATATGGGAGGACCAACTTTAGGTCCAAGGCATTACAGAGATTTAGGTCCAAGGCATTACAGCCTTTAGGTCTACTCTGATTTTCTTGGAGCCTGAGACATGTGGCCCAAGGCTCTTTATGACTGTCCTTACTGCCTTTTAATTGAGAAGAAGTCATTATTGGAAACAGGACTCAAACTGAGAATCAGCAGGTAATTAGAACATTCCAGTTTCCAAATCCAAGTCCTACCTGCTGGATGGCTTAAGTTTTTACACCTTTTTCCATAAAGTGATCAGAATTGTAAAGAAACACCCTAGCTAAGAAACTGCCTTCATTAAACTAGATTCTTGATTACAAATATACAATTATCACAAAAGCTGTTTCTAAACTCTTGCTGGCTCATCAAGAATAAGATTAATCACCACGACTGGCCCAGTGAGTGGCTGGGAACAGCCTGGGGCCCTGGAGTAAAGGCTCCTCTCATAGCGGCAGGGTAGCCAGGATAAAAGGCTCTCCTGTATGGGCCCTCCACTACCCGTTGCTTTTATTACTTTTAAGCTACATATAATCTTAGGAAAGATGAGAAGTACCTAAGATTTTATAATGAAAATTTCAAAGACAGTGGAGCTAGCTAGATTTTACCATAACTGTGAGGAATGCTAAATTAAAAGGAAAGCTCTTCTACTTAAAACACAATTGTGGCCTTTCAGATCCCCCAAATATTGGGTTCGGTGCTCCTGCAGCACCCAACTTCTGCCATTGTGGGAAGTAATCAGGTTTTTTGTTTAGCTCGTGTAATAACCTACTGTGTGCAATTGCTATCTACAAGTTCTATGACGGAAGGAAAGGTATCTATTTTACTACTATTATTCTACCAGCATTAAGCGTAATATCTTTCATATAGAATGAGCTCAACTACTAATAGCTGAAGAAAGGAAGGAAGGAGGGAAAAAAAGAGAAGGGGAGGGAGACAGACTAACCCTGACTCAGCCTTTAAAAAGAGAGGGAGGGAGACAGACTCACCCTAATGCAATGCAGCACTATCTAGAATGGTCAGAGGTGGGCAGGATGGACTATGGTCTAGCCGGAGCTCATGACAGCCCTGAGGGACAGGGGAGGGGAAGGTGACCTGAAGTCTGCAGCAAGGCTAAGCCATCTGCCCCATCTTAATGTACAACTTTGAGATTTGTGACTAACACTTTTTATTCATCATGGGCTACTGATTTTGTCTTCCCGAACAATTCTTTATATTCTTACTTACTTGAAACCAAGGATTCCTCCTTACCTTCCCTCCTTTACCCCAGTCCTAGGGGATCCTAGGCCCCCTACCTGTTACATACGTCACTGCTCCTAGAGGTGTGGCCAGAGCTGATGCATTACCTGTTCATTAAGCTGTATGACCTGCGTTTCTAAATCTTTATCAGATCTGGATGCTGAGCCGCTGGAAGAAGCCCTTTTGGCTGATGAGGGTCGAGAAGGTGTGGATCCTGGTTTAGCTGCTGGACTTGATTTAGCTGCACCTGAAAGCAATCAGAATAAATGATAAATACTGGTAATATTAAAAATGTGTTTTAGATATATAGAAAATGAATGATATAAAAGAAGCTTACTATAACATATAAGAGACACCTCCAGTGATCCCTTCCCCTACAGAAAGAGTACAAATATTTCAGCAGGAGTGTACACAGTTAAAAGTACGGTTGTTTTGGGCAATTTATCTCACCTTTGTGAGTGCTGTTTTTTTTCCTAAAGTAACATGAGGTTAATGCCATTGTCCCTTCTCCCTCTGGAGATGTAAGAGTAAGAGAACAAATTTTAAGATTTTTAAGAGGAAAGGTTTTTAGGTAAGCTTAAAAGTATCACCCTAATTGAATTTCTAACAAACAAGAGAAAAGATCTTAAAACCGATTAATACTTCAGAAGAAATATCAATACAAATGTATTTTTTTCTCTTTTAAAACATTTCCCAGCTTTAGCCACTACAATGCCTAAGAGCAATGACATCTCCATAGCAGCGGGCACTCCTGATGCCCAAACCTTGATTTCTAAAGGTTATTCTGCAATAAAAGGGCTTCTTGAGAAATGGCTGATTCTAGGGATGGGGCAGGGAATGTTCAGGGTAAGCTGAGGATATCTTGTGTCAAAAAACAAGGAGGTGCTCCAGGATTAATATCAAGAGCTCGAAGGGGCTCCCCACTAGTCACACTTGGGACAGTTTGAATATTAGGAAGAACAATAGCTTCATTTATTGTAATGCACTGGATAATAAAATCTATTAATCTACAATGACTGAAAGAGAGATGGGCTGGAAGAAAGGGAGAGGGAGAGGGAAGAGAAAAGAATATAAAGATGTTTTCAATTCTTTTTAAGGAACACTGGCAGTCAGTAAATGTACAAGAAATGCTGGAACTAGAAAATAAATCACAATTTTGTGACATCCATAACTAATAAGCGATTCAGAAAGGGCTCATCATTGGACATGTAAACTTTAGGTGAGAGGGTTTTGGGGAACAAGATATTTACATGTGTTACTCTAAAGGGAAAAATACACCCTTACCATGGGGAGATCTGAGGGTCAGCACCTTAAGCAAGTGATTCATTTAGCATCACTAATAATGTTATAAAGTGGAAAAATGAAAAACCATTGGTTTCAGGTAAGACCTCACCTATTTGGAGCTCAGCTCACAGCAGACTCTCACTACCTAGAACAACGCACAGACACAAGAATGGCCTCTGCGGCCAAAATAGAAGTCCCAATGTATACGCAATGTACTTCATGGATTATGAAATTCCAAGCCACTACTGGGGGCCTGCCCATTCGCTTTTCCTCTGAACACAGTCCCCGTGAAGTGGCATCTCTGTTTTTCACTATCCCTTCAGTCTGGTGTAGGTGCTCCTTCTCTGTGCTCCCACTGGCCTAATACCCCAACCCCTGCTCTTGTTTACAGCAAGAAACACATCTTATTCATCTTTGTAACCCCAGTGCATAGCACAATGCTCAACTGAACATGTATTTGGTTAAAGAGCAAAAGTTTAACTATATAAACAAGCAAATAAAACTTTTAGTGATATGGTTTCCAATTTTACAGTTTATTTCCAACTTCACAGTTTATTAGTATCAACAGATTAGCAAGAGCCGAAGGGTTATAAAGACAGGTATGTGACAGCAGTTACAAGTTTCAACCAACATCCTAATTACAAAGTAGAAAACAGGAAGACCATAAAACTTATATTTGTGTCTTCAGGTGCCTGGGGTCATTAGCTCCGGATGCAAGTCACACCCTCTAGAAACACTGACAGCATGACAGCCTTTAAAATACAGGCCTTTCTGTTAAAAAAATTTTTTTTTAAAATAAACTTCTTTAAAAACACAGGGAGGTGCCTAATATACTTTAAAATGAGAATGGTTAAATTGGGAAACACTTAAAATAGTTTGAATTTCTCAGGGTAAATCTGCAGATCCCTGGAAACCTCACCTGTGCAGAAGAGCTTCCCAAGGATTCTAGAGGGCTGACGTTTTGCTTTATTTGTGCCTGGTATATGGCCGTGAGGAACCTTCTTCATCTCTGTTGAAGCCCATATAAAACACTCCTGGAACACTACCTTCCATGTCCTGCTGACCAAGTTCTTTAACCCAAAGGCAAACCAACTGGGTAAAGAAAACAATGTAGACGAGCAGGTAGGGGAGGCAGGGTGAGGACACCTGATCTGGCAAAGAGCCTTCTCTGAGGCAGCCACCAGCCTAACAGGTGGGGAGAGAGCTCGGAAATATCAAGTTCGTTCAGATCTTTTTATAAGCAATACCTCATATTTTAATATAAAGGAAGTCTAACAGAAAGCAGTGCGAAGACTGCCTATGATCAACACCCCTTACACACACTTATTACACTTAGTAAGTGCCTGCCATGGGCCATGCACTGGAGGCCCCTAAAAATGCCTAAGATGCAGTCTTTGTTCTCCAGCTGAGTTTTCACATGAGCAACAGCTATCTAAGAATTCCCGGTGTGGCACCTTCAATGTTCTCAGGAATAAGCCAGGGTTCTACGACTCCATGACCATCCCATGTGATATGGGTTGGCTGTGTCTGCATCCAAATCTCATCTTGAATTGTAGTGTTCCCATAATCCCCACATGTTGTGGGAAGCAGCCTGTGGCAGGTAATTGAAGCGTGAGGGGCAGTTACCTCCATGTTGTTCTCGTGATAGTGAGTGAGTTCTCACGAGATCTGATGGTTTTATAAGGTGCTTGTTCCCTCTTTGCTTGGCACTTCCTCCTTCCTGCTGCCGTGTGAAGAGGGACATGTTTGCTTCTCCTTCAGCCATGATTTTAAGTTTTCTGAGGCCTTCCCAGCCCTGAGAAACTGTGAGTCAATTAAACCTCTTTTCTTTATAAATTATCCCGTCTTGGGCAGTTCTTTATGGCACTGTAAGAACTAATACACCATGCAATTCAGGCTGTATTCCCTCTGCCTCCTTCCTGTCCCCTACCTCCTCTGAGCAAGCAGGTCTACCACCCTTCCAGTCTCAGCTCAGATGTCACTTTGTCTGGAAGGCCAAAGTGCCCTGAACACTTTCCACTGTTGTGGTACAGCTATTTCTTTAATGCCTACTTCTCCCACGAGCGGAAACGCCAGGACATAGGAGTTTTATCTGTTTTAGTCACCTTATGCTCTCACCACCAATCACAGTGCCTAACCCAGAGACATTCAATAATAGTTTTTATAATTCATTCTATAAGACCTAGCAGAGGCATCTCTTCAGGGTAAGGACACTGGGGGAAGCTTGAGGAGCTGATGCCAATGTCAAACTCACAGACACAATGAACCAGCAAGACAAGAAGGAAACCAAATAAAAACCATCAGCCTCCCAGAAAGAGAGCTCCTCCTTGGTTTCCTCTCAAGATTACCTTCTGTAAATTACTTAGGCTCCTTACCTACACAGAATCAGGAGAGGTGGAGTAAACTCAGTCAGTCAGTATATGCTTCATTCTGAGTGGTCTGTGCTGGGCTGTCCAAGCCTGTGTCATGCTCACTGGCCCTTCCTGAGGGACACAACCTTGCAGAGGGGGCTTCCCTAGATAGCATGTGATGACCCACCTACCCTGGCAGTCTTTCATAGGCAGGTCAGCAACAACAAAGTGGTTGCAATAACTGAGCTAGGATCATCAGACACACTCATGTTCTGGTATCTGGCCTTATCCAGTCTGATGTCAATTTAAAAAGAAAAAAGTGATGGAAGAAACCAAAGCTGACTGCTTGTAATACAGGGCTACCACTAATTATATTCTCAGGATATCATCAAATAGAGCTTGAAAAAAAAAAAAAACTGAAATGTTTGATAAGATGTAGAAGGGGTTGTGGCAAGCCAAACCCCAGGGCAAAGCCACATGATCAGGGAAGAGCAACTATGAAGAAGCAGAGGACACTGGCCAGAAGCGCAGTAAGGAGACACGCAGGGAGAATCCCCGACTGCGGGAGGCGCTCAGCACGGCTCATGGCAGGGAGGGAGGGTGCAGCTGCTGCAGTTACTGATGCTCTCCCCATTATAGCCACACACAGTCACTTGGGGAAACAGGTTTTGCTTTGTTTTGTTTTCTTCCCTTGAGGAACTATCCCTTGCTGTTAATAGAGCCCAACTTCAACCTGCCTGTGTGGCTTGCACTCGCCAAGCTGTGGTTCAGCCCTAAAATGGCATCTGTGTTCACAAATCAGGCAAAGGTCAGGTGGTGGCCTAGGGCCCCAGGGCTCTCCCACTGGCACACAGCATGTGCACCTCCTGGATCCCTTTGAGATGAGAGAGGTGCAGGTGATGAAAATCAGGCTTGGCAACCTCTGCTGCTCCACCACCTACACACACGTGGGAAGGAAGAACCGCTTCTGCCCCACCCTTAAGCCTTGCTAACGGGGACACAGTGCAGGCTGAGTGAAGGAAGAAATGGAAAAAATTCTAAACATTTAATAATCAATCACTTAAGTAATTAGTATTTGATATTTAAAATGAAAGGGATCTTGAAATTCTACTGTTTGGAGAAAAACTGATAACAGAGGAAAATAAATGATGCATGAGGATATGTGAAATCAGGCCTACTTAACTACATTTTTACCTTCAGATGAATAAATGTAAAGAAATTAAAGAATGGGAAAGGCATAGGAAAGAGTTATCTTCCGAGGTTTGGGTAAACAACAACAACAACAACAACAACAAAAACCCCATAATTAACAGTTAAACTAAAAGCTCGTTTTCAAATAAATGTAAAGTGGGCTCATTAAATCATCACAAGCTGCAATTTGAAATGGAAGTAATTTACCCCTCGCAGCTGTCACATGATTAAGAAATACTAAATGTATAAAAATAAAAATGAAACCTTTTGTCCTCATTATATTCAATGATTTCATGTTTTCCTTTTCAGAATAAATAATAGACAATATCCTAACATATAGCACAACTCTTTAGAGTTAAGAACTTGTTTTTGTTTATTTGCTGTCTAGGTCTCGCTGTCTTCTAACAACCACACTCTAAAG